TAGAACCCGGGACATTGGGCTCTGTTGGCTCAGATCCTTTTGGCCAGATCTTCAGACCAGACAACTTTCTTTTCAGTCAGTCCCGGGCAGGCAACAACTGGGCCAAAGGTCACTACCCAGAGAAGAGGACCTGGTCGACCCTGTCCTGGATGTGGTGCAGAAGGAGGCCAAGACCTGTGACTGCCTGCAGGGCTTCCAGCCGACCCACTCGCTGGGTGGAGGCACCCGCTCTGGAATGGGCACCCTGCTCATCAGCAAAATCCGAGAAGAGTAAACCCACCGCATCTTGCACGCCTTCAGTGTGGTGCCCTCACCCAAAGTGTCCGACACTGTGGTTGAGCCCTACAACACCACCCTCTCTGTCCATCAGCTGGTGGAGAACACTGATGAGACCTATTGCGTTGACAACGAGGTCCTCTACGACATCTGCTTCTGCACCCTGAAGCTCACCATGCCCACCTATGGGATCTGAACCAGCTGGTCTCAGCCACTGAGTGGCGTCACCACCTGCCTTTGCTTTCCCAGCCAGCTCAATGCTGACCTCCTCCAGCTGGCAGTTAACATGGCGCCCTTCCCATGTCTCCATTTCTTCATGCCTGGCTTTGCCCCTCTCACCAGCCGTGGAAGTCAGCAGTATCTGTCCCTCACCCTGTCTGAACTCACCCCACAGGTCTTTGATGCCAAGAACGTGAAAGTAGCCTGCGACCCCCGCCACGGCGGTACCTCACTGTGGCCGCTGTCTTCCGTAGATGAATATCCATGAAGAAGGTGGGTGAGCTGATGCTCAATGTGCAGAACAAGCATCTACTTTGTGGGATGGATCCCCAACAACTTCAAGACCGTGTCTGCAACATCCTGCCACACGGCCTCAAGATGGCTGTCACCTTCATTGGCAACAGCACCGTCATCCAGAAGCTCTTCAAACGCATCTCTGAGCATTTTTCAGCCACGTTCCTCCAGAAGGCTCTCCTCCACTGGTACTGAGGGTGTGGACGAGATGGCGTTCACTGAAGGCGAGATGAACGACCTCGTCTCCGAGTACCAGCAATACCAGGATGCCTCCGCAGAAGAGGAAGAGGATTTGGGTGAGAAGGCGAAAGAGGAGGCCCAAAGCAGAGCCCTCCGTCACCTCAGGCTTCCCAGCTTCCTTGGCTTTCTTCAGCTGCCCCTTACCCCCTTCAAAGTTTCTTTCTGCTGCCTCTGTCTTGTTTTTGTTTGTTTGTTTGTGGAGGTGAACAGTGCCTGGCACATAGTAGGTGCTGAATAAATATTTGTGAAGGGTCTCATTTCTCTTTCCACTCTGAGAGACCTAGTTTCTGCCATTCTGGGTTACCTTTTATTTCCCTCTAGTACCCACTTCTTGTAACTGTCCAGTTTAATATTCTTCTGGAAATTTTCTACAGGAAACTTGAGTCTTCTCCAGATCCCATTTAGAACCAGCCAGTGCAGAAAAACAGACAGTGGCTTCCATCTCAAGCCTATGCAGTGGATAATGGAAAGGGGGCTGGGGATGACGGTACCAGTCACTAGGGGGAAGAGGGTGGGTTTTCAGTCTATTTTTTCCCCTACTCCATCTCAGCCTCAGGAGGGGAATCAACACTATTATCTCCACTTACAGTCCCCCAGCTGTCCTCAGCCTCATCTGTCTTTGGAGGTATCTGTCCTATTGCTTTTTCTTTTATCCCAAGAGATTGGGGTGGGGTGGGGGGGAATGCAGGGCCTTGGTCTCTAAATGCTCAGAAATTTCCTCACTCCACCCATTCTTATTTCCAACAAGACAAATAACACCTCCTGGCTCGTGGAAAGGTGCGTGCTGCGACCTAAACGTTTGGGTCACTCCCCAGAGGAAAGGGAACATCTTTGTCTTCCCCCCCATCCCCATGTTGTCCTACACTTCAGATTTCTATTTTGTGTTGAACTTGCTGCCTTTTTTCATACTGAAAAGATGATGTTGCCCCAAGAGCCAAAAATAAATGGGAATTGAGGAAAAAAAACAGTAAGTAGCTGTATATGAAACAACCACATTGTAAAAAATATGAAATGGTACTAATAATTGATTCTCTAAGAACAAATTTCTGGCCACAAATTGGGGTTAAAGTTGCATTCTCCAGCACTTTGAGAATCTCAGTCAGTTACCATCTAGCATATGACATTTTAATATGATTTTGGATGTGACACAGATTGATTATTTCATGCCAGATTATTAGCTTTTACAAAATGCTACAAATCCATCACATTGTATGTACTTTCTGAATTTGGCTTTGTCTCAGATGACCTCATTTCCTTACCCATACACTCTTCTGTGACTTTTCTTGGGTAAATGTGAACAAATGACTGTCATTCCAGAGAAGATATCAAGAGCAGAACAAAGAAATGATTCCACTCAAATCCATTCTGGTGATACAATGACTTTATTGAGGTCATTTACAGGAGCATGAGTGAGGGTCACTTACAGCAGCATGCTGCCTGCCTGCCTGCCTTTTGCAATCTGACCACTCGCCTGAACCCCCTTCTGTCACACCTTCCCTCTCTTGATGGGGTGTACCCTCCAACCGCCAGCCAAAACAAACCTTCCCTTTCTCAAACTGTTTTCGTCAGGTAGCCATCACATAAACAAGCAAAGTAACCGATGCAGCTTCCAGTGCATCAAACAAACACAAACAATGCCTGTGACTTCTTGTGTATGCCTTAACCAAATATCAAACACCATAGAAGGAAATCAAAACACCTAACAGAAGCACACATATTTGAGATCCTTTAAGGCATTAGGCTGAAATGTGGCTGTGAGCAGCTACTTCTAGGCATTTTGCCTGACTGTAGAAAGCCTCACTTTGTAAGAGTTATTTCTCTAGTTAACATCTCAGAACCTCTGTTTCTATACATGAGAGATAGCATTGCACCTATGTGAACTACGAAGTACACACATGACAGCATAGCATGCTCATACAGTGGCTACTCATGTCACATGTCTATTTTATAACGTGTTTCTCATGAAATTTTCTATAAAACACAGAGAAAATGAGCTCAACATATTAATTAATCATATTTTAATCATTTCTAAGTTATTCTAAATGTCTGTTCCTATGATAACTTGGTTGTTCGTCACATGAAGAAGTAAAGGGACTTGATTATGTAAAATAAAACAAAAGCACCAATTTCTGACTGTAATATTCAAATGAGTCGTTATCATTGGCAGGATTTTGCATTCATGAGCATGGAAATTTAAATGGACTATACTTCCTACTTTAAAAACTACATCAAAAATAGAGCCAGGTGTGGTGGCACATACCTTTAATTGCAGCACATGGGAGGCAGAGTCAAGAAGATCTCTGACAGATCAAGACCAGCCTGATCTACATAGCAAGTTCCAGGTCAATTGGGACTACAGAAACACCCTGTCACAAACAAACAAAAAATCTGTAAAAAAATGTGTTTTAAAAAATACAATGTATATACCAGTTACAAATGTATTCTAAGAATTTTTGATTCATAAATTAAATAATGCAGATAGGAATCTTGGACTAAACTGACATTTTTATTTTTACAATTTATGTATTATCTGTGTGTGTGCGTGTGCATATGCGTGTGCGTGTGCGTGTGTGTGTGTGTGTGTTTGTATAATGAAGGGGATGCTTCTCTCACAGCCCATGTGTAAAGGTCAGAGGAAAACTTAGTGGAATCAGTTCCATGCCCAGAACTTATATAGATGGCCCAACAAGAAAAAGGCACATTTGGGCTGGAGAGATGGCTCCGCAGTGAAGAACACTTTCTGCTCTTGCAGAGGACCCGAGTTCGATTCCCTAACCCACACAGTGGCTAACAACCATCTATAACTCCAGTTACCAGGCATCTGACACCTCTTCTGACCTCCACAGCCATTGCATGACACAGGTGCACTTACACGCATGCAGGCAATATACTCATACACATAAAAAATAAAATTTAAATTAAAAAGAAAAAGGCACATTCTCACTAGTCCAGAATTTTTGTTTTAATTTTTGAAATTGATATTTTATTTGAAACATATTAGTATATCTGATACTTATGTTTTATACTTCATTTCTTGACTTTTTTCTAATTATGAAATTATTGTTACATGATACAGTTATACAGTATTTTATTTCTCATGACTCGCATGCATCTATCTACACAGGAATATATCTTTCATGGTATCCATTATTCATTTTAAAATCTTTAAAATAATAATGGTGATACAAAAATCATATTGACACCAGTTCCTATGCCTAAGTGGTCCATATTCTTATCTTACTTTCAATAACAATGTACATGTTTTCATATTTTATGCCAAAGTTGTATATACTTACATAGTATTTAATGTATACATAATATTTGAAAATTCATAAAGTTACATGCAATGGAAGAATCTTTACAGAGCGCTTATTTATATATATGACACTTCCTGGTTTTTACACCTCTTGCCCCTACAGTGTCTCTCCATTCCAGATGAATCACAGACTTGGGCATTATGTCCTCTTCTTTTTCCTCCTCGCCTTACATTTCTGCAAAAGCCAAGTGCTATCCACACAGCCAGATCCTAAACAGAATGGCTGCACACATTAATCACTATACCACCATGTAGTAACAAGGCATGCTGGTCTTCCAAAAGTTGCTTATCCAGAAACATCCCTTTAAACCCCTGCTTCAAGCAGAAATTTAAACAAAAGCATAGTGTCCCAAAGTCTAGTTATATGATGTCAGCTGACCTAGGGCCCATTTTCTCAGCGTTCAGCACATGTCCTACGACCTACTCTCTCAGAAGGCATCTTAAAAAGAGTAAGCTCTGCTCTTTCTGGAGGGCTGAAACTTACCTTCACTCCCTATGTATGCTGCCTGTCAATTTAGCAATTGCATCTAACTTTATAACAATCTCTGCATGAAGGAAAGATCTATCTCCATGTCTCTCAAATTCTGTTTTTCCATGAAACCTACCATGCATGAACTGGATTTATTCTAGAATATGGAAGCTGAACTCAAATATGTTATGAACTCAAGAGTGTAGCCTCTTTCATCCGGCACCTAAGGCACCACAGAGAGGCCCGTCTCAGCTTACTGTTTCCAACAATCAGGACACATGAGTGTCCTGAAGGAAAAGCAATTCCCATAACACCCCAAAACAAAGAACTTGGATTTCTCATCTGAAGATAAGTGCTCTGAGACTGTAAAAGAAGCGCCAGGGAAAAAAGGGTGTACAGTAACAGGAAGGCGACGACAGTTTGCAGGGCCTTGATGTGGGCCGCGGTGCTGACATCTCTGGATCCTTTGGACTTGCAGTGCATGTTCTTCAGATGTTTCAAAAGGGAGAAGATTAGCAGGAGAAAAGTCATCAGTGACATAGTGAAAGGTATGAATGTGAACATAGTGTTCGTGAATAAAAGACTATTAGAAAATTTTACAAAGTTACTTGAGAGTAAACTGTAGGATATATTTGCTTTGAATCCATGTACCCAGGCATCCATCTGTGTGTATATGATGACAATGTTTATAAACAAGAGAAGCAGAGACATCAGCAATGTCACTGAAACCACTTTTTCAACTCTCCACTTTAGATAAAGAAAAAGAGAGTTGGAAAAATTGGCTATCTTGAAAAAATAAAAGATGCTGAGGCAGGTAGCAAGCCAGATGCTGAAATGGTGGGTCACTAAGAAGAACATACTAAGCATTCTCACAATTTTTTCACGTGTGATTAAACCTGGATATAGTAAAGACAGCAATAGACTTGACATGAATAAGCATAGAAAAGCAATTCTGGAGACTGAGAGAGCAGTCAGGATTAGATCCACTGAAGAGATCTTTCTTCTCTTGACCCAGTCCATGATGTTCACCAGTGCCATGAATGTATTTCCTAAGATTCCTATAATGAAACCCACACTTACAATGGTTATTAGTGTAGGGTTTAGGATATCAGTCATTGTCAACAAGAAGATACTGCAATTTCTTCTGGACAGATAAAGGCTTGTTAAAGTAGTCTAAGATGTTGTGTATACCTGATTCTTGAAAATTTTATAACATTCATATAAACTCCCATATACATTATAAAGCAGGCATCAAGATTTACTACTGAGTTGGTCCATAGTTTTCTCTATAAAAATATATTTTCCAAGACAGCCCAGCTGATTCTACTCCAAAAACTGTGTGCCTTACACAGAGAATCCAGAATTTCTTTGCAGTTGTTGATGAAGAAAACTGAAATCTTGAGCACTATCATGAAAATAAAAACACATTTTTGTATTATATTGCAGGTTTGGCCTTATCTACAAATTTTAGTCTAAGTGCTTGATTTCTAAATGCATAGCTTTAGGAAGCTGTAACTCATAGCAAGCATCAAAATCTAAGCTGACATTTAGAAGAAAATGATTAAACACATCAAAATGATGTCTGTACAGGGACTTGTGTATGTTTTCTAAAGACCTTCCTAAAAGCTGTGAGTTACTTAATAATTTCATAGTCATCGCTATTCCTCACACACTTAGACCTGATAGCACTAGTCATTTTATTTTTTAAAGCTCATGCATATACACAGAAGCACACACTCACTCATGGACATACACACACACACACACACACACACACACACACATTTACTTATGTCCAAATCTCCTTATCTCCTACTTTAGTAATTCAGGTTGATGATTACACAGAATTTATTGCTCATCAAACTCCTTTTTAGCATTTCTATAGTTGTTAAGGTACTGTATAACATTATTTTTAAGCATAACTGATATAGTAGAAATGTAAATGCTATGTAAACCTGTGATTCTTTTGTTCATGTATGTGATCAAATCTGGAAATCTATTTACTGTGATAAACAACAGAGCACAAAATGAATTCATCTATACAGCAATAATCTTCATCCTCTGTTTGCCAGTATACCTGATTCCCCATCACCACCAAGAAGTTTCAGATAGTATCCTTTTCTTTTACTTTGCATTAATAATCACTCCATTACCATCAATATAGCCATCAGTGCTATCAATACAGGATGACACACTGCCTAGGCAAACTGGGAATGAAGTAAGGCATGATAACACTCTTCAAGATCTAAAGAGTGGTCAAAAAAATCAACGACACAGTTACAGCAGATATAACTAAGATAACAGAAAAACATACATAAAAATTTTCAGTAAGCCTTAAGGTGGTACATACTGGTAAACCAAGGACGATAGCAAGCCCAAAGCCAGTCTGAACTTCACGATGAGACAGTACCTGAAAACACGAACAACAGTAAGAAATAGAGATGGCAGAGAAACATATGCGTATTATAATGTGAAGGAAGGACCACAACCTCAGTGTTCTGGAGCAGATGTACAAGATGTAGGTCACAGACATACTGGGAAGGTAAATTAGGCCAGCATGTGAAAGTGCTAAGGGGAACAGGTTAGAACAGAAGCGTAATCTCACCATCATTGTGGAGACTGGAAGATTCTCCCAGCATTGTTCCAACCACATAACAAAAAGAAGGAAGAACACAAACAGAAATGCAAAACACCCAGGGCATGGGGCTGTGTGGAGTCTGGACTGCAACTGGCACCTCAGGCTCTTTTAGAAAAGTGACAGAACTGAAATTCATTGGGAGAAAGCAATACTCACCCTGAGGAGCTTCCCTGACTCCTCCCTCTGCACCTGCCACTCTGCAAAGTAAGCACTGGATATTCCACCTGAACAGCAATCCCTAGGAAAGACAATCTGTTCCTAAACAGGAAGGGAATGGAACCAAGAACAAGTCCTCATCTTTATTTTATAAAACAAAGTATAGCTCTCTCTGACATGCAGGCCTCTCTCTCCGGGACCAACCCTGTTCCTCAGTGCACTCCCTGGGAGCCCTTGGGGCTGCTTCCCGCCCCCATCTTCCTTTGCATCTCTGGGTGGCATGGCCACCAGCTGCCCTAGACCAACATCTTTCCTGGGCCCAGCTTCCAGGCCAGTCCAACCCCCAAATTCCTGAGGCCAAAATCTTTCCTGGAGGGACCCAGACCTTAGGAGAAAGGCTGAGAGCATCTAATCCTCATCTGATTTGGGCCTCTGAGGGAATTCCTGAAGACAAAAGCAATCTGGCCACTCCAATATAAAATCAAAAGAGAGAACCGGAAGCTTAGAGGAACCAGCTTTTCATGCGAAGACACATAAAGTGCACAAAAAGAAGCAGACCTAAACTTGAAGGCTTGAGTCTCACACAAGAATCAGAAACTACAAAAGAAATTCACATGTCAAAATCACAGAGAAAAAATAATAATATGAAAAACCAAAATAACATAGCCCCACCAAATACTAATAGTCCTCTAGAGGAGTACAATGAGAACCCCCTAGAGATAATGCAGGACATAGAACTCAAAAGAACGATTATAAACACGATAAAAGAATTCAGTGAATTTAAAGAACACACAAACCAAGAAATCAAAGAACTGAAGGAAGATAGGGATAAACTTCGAAATGAATTCAGAAAAGAGCTAGAAATATTGAAGAATACTCAGGCTGCAAAAGAGAACAAGTCATATATAAATGAAAACCCATTAGGATTACAGCTGACTTTTTAGTGCAAACTATGAAAGACAGAAGAGCCAGGACCAAAGTATTCCCAGTTTTAATAACCACAGATGGCAACCCAGACTACTATACCCAGGCAAAATGTCTATTATAGTCGAAGGGGAAAGAAAAATCTTCCATGACATAAATAGGCTGAAGGAATTCATGTCCACAAAATCACCCCTTCAGAGAGTTCTGGAAGCAATACAAAGAGCTGAAGGAATGACTAAACCCAAGGGGTTGTGGAAAGAAATTCAATAAAAGGGTATAACAGTGTAAAAGTACAGCTATAGCAAGAATGTAAACAACAAAAATAAAAATGACAGGGTTCAATACTCATCTTTCATTAGTAACTTTAAATAGTAATGGACTGAACCCCCCAGTCAAAGACACAGACTAGGTGAATGGATTAAGAAACAAAACCCATCTTTTTGTTGTCTGCAAGAAACTCATCTCACTTTGAAGGACAGACACTATCTTAAAGTGAATGGACAGAAAAAAAATATACCAAGCAAATGGTACTAAGAAAAAAGCAGGCGTACCAATTCTAATATCTAACAAAATAGACTTAAAATTAAAACTAATCAGAAGAGATAAAGAGGCCACTTCATTCTGATCAAAGGAACAATAAATCAAGAAGATAGTACAATCATGAATATATATTCACCAAACTCTGGTGCACCCAACTTCATAGAAACAATACTACAGGACTTTAAGACCCAGATTAATCATAGCTCATTAGTAGTAGGGGACTTCAGTACCTCACTGTCTCCATTAGATAGGTCAACAGGGCAGAGACTTAACAGAGAGACATCTGAATTAAACAATACCATATATCAAATGGACTTAACAGACATCTAATGAGTATTCCACCCAAACACCAAAGGACATAATTTATATTCAGCACCCCATGGAACCTTCTCCAAAATCTACCATATATTGGGGCACAAAACAAACCTCAACGAATCCAAAAAGATTGAAATAATTCCATGCATTCTATCAGACCACAATGCAATAAAGCTTACAATCAACACTGAAAGAAGCCCTAGTCACCATATGAACATGTGGAGATTAAACAACACACTCCTAAATGATGAATGGGTGAAAACTGAAATATAAAAGTATTCCTGGAACTAAATGAAAAGGACAATACAACACAACAAAACCATTAGGACACTTTGAAAGCAGTCATTAGAGGGAAGATTATAGCTCTAAGTGCCTACATCAAAAAAAGGGAAAGAACACAAATAAATGACTTAATGTTGCAACTCAAGACACTTGAAAGACAACAGCAAAGGAAACCCAAACCCAGCAGACAAGAAGAAATAGCAAAAATCACAGTAGAAATTAATGAAATTGAAACAAAGAAAACAATACAAAGAATCAACAAATCCAAGACCTGGTTCTTTGAAAAGATAAACAAGATTGACAGACTGCTAGCCCATTTAACAACAAGAGAGAGCACCTCCAAATTAACAAAGTCAGAGATGAAAGGGGAAACATTACAACAGACACCAGAAAGATACAGAACACTATAAGGGAATACTTTAAAAACCTATATGCTTCTAATTTTGAAAACATAAAAGAAATGGATGGATAGCTAAAGAAATGGGAACCACCAAAACTAAACCAGGAAGAGATTAACAGCTTAAACAGACCCATAACACAAAAAGAAATTGAAACAGTAACACAAAACCTCCTGACTAAAAAGAGCCCAGGACCAGATGGATTTACAGCAGAATTCTATCAGATATTTAAAGAAGATCTACATCCAATTCTATTTAATTTATTCAAAAAGAGAAATGGAGGGAGAACTTCCAAATTCGTTCTATGAAGCCAGCATCACTCTAATACCAAGGCCAGGTAAAGATACAGGCAAAAAAGAAAACTATAGACCCATATCCTTAATGAACATAGATTCAAAAATACTCAATGAGATACTTGCAAACCGCATACAGACACACATCAAAAAGATCATCTACCATGATCAAGTCGGCTTTATCCCAGAGATGCAGGGATAGTTCAC